TTTGACATTCAGACGTCCACTTCCACTGGACATCTTTTTTTAAAAGCTTATGCAAAGGTGCTAAGGTTGTTGCCAAATTTGGAAGAAATCAATGATAATATTGTACCATACCCAAGAAAGATCTTAGCTCACTGACGTTAGATGGCACAGGGGCCTTCCTAACAGCGTCCACTTTCTCCTCTACCGGGTGCAAGCCCTTTTCATTAACTTTAAGACCTAGGTACACAACTTCTGGTTTTAGAAACTCACACTTAGATTGTTTTAAGTGTACATTATGCCGACATAATCTTTCTAAAACCTCACCTAATATCTTCAGATTCTCTCCAGTCATTCCCACCAATAAGAATGTCATCCTGCTTACACACACATTTCTCTATCCCTTGGAGAATCTGATCCATTTTAGACTGAAATATCTTAGGTGCAGATTTAACCCCATAAGGTAACTTAGTGTAGCTATACAACCCTTTATGTGTGTTTATTGTAAGATACTCTTGACTCTCTTTATCAACATTTAGCTGAGCATATGCATGAGGTAAATCGAGTTTACTAATAACTTTAGACCCTGTTAGCATAGTGTACAAATCCTGTGTAGTGGGAAGAGGATACTGCTCGTCTTGCACCGACTGGTTTATTGTTACCTTATAGTCTCCACACAACCTTATAGACTTATCGGCCTTTGGTACAACTACTACTGGACTTGCCCACTTTGTCCTCTCAGTTTTTTTATCACACTTCTAACTCCGCTTCGACAGCCTCTTTCAGTGCATAAGGAACTTTACGTGGCTTAACAAACACTGGCCTTGCCCCGTCTTTCATAGTGATATGTGCTTCAAACCCTTTCATTCCTTCATAGCTGTCTTCAAACATGTTTTTGCATTTTGACAGTAACACATTAAGTTGGTCCCTAGCATTACTTTGCTCTGACGTTTTTATGCTAAAAACCCTGCCCCAATCTAACTTCACTGGGCAAGCCAATTTTTACCTAGTAGAGTGGGTTTCCCTACATAGTTAGCTATCACAATTGGCAACCTAAAAGTCTTATTTTGGTACACAATCTCACATTTCATCTCACCACTTACCTGAAGTATCTCGCCGGTGTAGGTCTTCAATTTTACAGCTGACGGATAAAGTGGAAAATGACTAAACTTCTGATCATACATGCTTTTACTCATTATCGAGAAATCAGCAGCGGTATCAATCTCCATGTCGCACACCACCCCATTAAGAGATAGTTCTACACTATATCTCTTATGAGAATAGTTCTCTGACTCTACTGAATATAAAAATAAATACCTAATTCATCACTATTGACATTATCGTTATTACTATCGTACAATGATAAATTTTGAATGTTACCTCTATCTGCTTGTCCGTGTTTGGATGTTGAACCAGGCTTAACCTCTTTACTGGTTTTACTACGACACACTGACGCTATATGACCTATTTTTGTACATTTAAAGCATTTTGCTGTTTTAAATCTACAGGTTTTTGCAGTATGATTTCCGCCACACCTGTAGCACGCTTGCTCGTCATTTCTCTTGCTTTCTATTTGGTTCACCGTCCCTTCACTGGTACTAGTAGTTGGATGAAACTCTTGCGTGTTCCTTTCAGCCATCTTCATAGACTTCGCAATCTGACAGGCTTTGTCGAATGTGATATTTTCGGTGGTCAACAGTTTGTTCTGTATCTTGACGTTGTATAGCCCACATACAAAGCGATCTCGTAATGCTCGATTTAAAAATTCTCCAAAATTACAATGAATGGAAAGTTTTTTTAATGCCACTACATATTCACCAATTGACTCACCGGATTTTTGACTACGTGTTCCAAAATGAAAACTTTCAGCGATCTCCAACGGTGCTGGGTTAAAATGCTTCTCTAGTGCTTTAACTATGTTACCAACAAATTACTTAGAAAACAAACAAATTACCTCCAATCTCAGTTAGAAAAATGGCACGTTTCCTGTCCTTGACAAGTTGATTAGCCCCTTCATTTTCTTCACCTGGTGTCTCAACAATGTTGTTTGCCGTAGAAAACATTTCCATTCTTTCCACATAGGATTTAAATGTCTCTCGTTCGGAATTGAACTCACCAATATGGCCGAACAGTCCTCCGGCTGTTGCCATTTCGATGATCAGTTATTGGGATTGGGGGGCAAATTATCCCGGGCCCCGAGGCTCTGAAGGCCCTTAAAAATTTAATGTTGAGCCCCAGTCATTTTTCGGGCGAAATATTTCCGTCTTCGGGCGGAAATATTTGTGTTTGGGGGCAAAGTACCGAAATTTGGTATGGTAAATTGAGGAAAAGTCCCACGAAAGCAATCAGAACGTACTTGTCCTGAAACTTTTTTTGCAATAGGGGCCCCTGTTTGTACTATCTCATGAACATAGAACATATCATTCTTACAAATCGTGTGCTTTTTTTTGTTTTTGGAACTGCTACATTTTAGCTGGTAAATTACTTCACAAACCTGGCACCAAAAAATTTAAAATAAGCTATAGATGATTTCATGTATCCATTTAGAAGAGCAGACTAAGGATATCTTAAAACTTAATTCGGTTTCGAATACAACTATCAGGGAAGTAGCGAAGCATCTGACGTTGGAGGGGAGGGGGATGTCGTTGGATTATACGTGTAATAATTATAATAAAGCTTCTTGTGATTGATTGGCACTCTCATATTAAGTTTTGAAGCTCTAGGACTGAATTTCTGGCGTTTTCTAAAGCAAATTCGAGAAAAAATTGCATGTAAATGGACTGTATTTTACAAAAATGGTTATCATTTCACAAAAACAATTACTTTATTCGGCAAATTTTACCTGAAAATGTCAAAATTTTAACTTGAATTTTACATGATTAATTTTTGCCTGAACAGTAGGGGGAGTTTTACATCCTCTTTCTACAACCCCCAGTTGCTACATCCCTGACAACCATTCCTTGCGAAGATATAATGACTTAAATTTCTAAAAATCCGTCATTTTGTTCTATTTTTAGTAACAATATGGCGGATTTTTCGACATTTGTAACGCTATATCTTCCCATAAAATTGTTGTATTTATAAACAGATTTCAGTTTTAATTAATTAAAGTGCCCTTGGTCTGCTCTACAAATGGATTCAATAAAATCACCAATAGTTTATTTTAATTTTTTTTGCGCCACGTTTGTGACGTAATTTACCTGCCAAAAAGTAGCAATTCAAAAAACAAAATAAATACGATTTGTAAGAACGATATGTTCTATATTCATGGCAAATTTGGTAGAAACAGAATGAAAATTTCAAAGTTGAAGCATATTGGTGCTTTTGCATGCATTTTTGACAGGCGTGTTGTAGCCTTCTTTTACGTATTCCATGTGGAGCTCCCCTATGTCAGTTAATATAGAATAAACAGTTTGGAAATCATTAGAATAGCAATATAACTCAATTATCTATGTTAGCCAACGTTTATGTACTGTTTAATAAACGAGCTGGAGTGTTTTATTAGGTTTAAAGCCACGAGCGCGCAGCGCGAGTGGCTTTAGACCTAATAAAATACGACCTGCGAGTTTATTAAACGGCTTCAAACACAACTACAAATTCAATAGATATACTGCCTTATTAGTATTCTTTATATAAAGCATACTAATGAGGACACGACAGCAATAGATACTGCCTTATTAGTATTCTTTATATAAAGAATACTAATTAGGAGTGTTTTATCAGGTTTAAAGCCATTGCACGTGACATATTTTGGTTGAAATGATTTGCCAATAAGCTTATGAATTATTAATGAGTGTTTGAATCATAAATATATTCTTTCACCATCACATATGTATTATATTTTTGCAATGTAGACCAATAGCAATTTTCAATTTACCCTATTATTCGAGTCATGGATAGGTAACTTTCCTAAAACATTGCTTTTGGTTAGTCGGGCAAAACTAGAATACTCACGTCACGGCAAAAGACCAGACCTATGAATGTTATTGTTCACTAACATAGGTAATGAGTTATATTGTTATTCTAATGAGTTTCCAAACCATCTATTCTATTAACTATGCATGGTGGGAGCGAACACTCCTGGTCCCTGCTGGACCAAAACTTTGAAAAGTTTGGAGCCCCCCACCCCCTTCATTATATTGAGAACTTTCAGAGCCCCCCTTTAATGCCAGAAAATATTTCGGTGCCCCCCTTAACATCTTCATCCCCCCCCCCCTCGGCAAAATAAATGTACTTTCCCTAACGATCCATTATGTACTGCTAATGACCATATAATGGTTATTTTACACAATGGTTGCGATTTACAAAGTTCAGAAATGAGGCACAGTCCCAAACATTTTGACGAAATGTCATCTCTATTTTCGGCAAGTTGTCCTTTCGGCAAACTGTCCGTTCGGCAAAATCTCCGTTCTGCAAAATGTCCGTTTGGCAAAACGTCTACCGATCCGCTTTTGGGTTGGTAAAATATGGCGCGCTGGAAGTTGGAAAAGTCCTTCGTTCTCACACGTTGACTTACGCAAATTCCTTACTCTTTCGTAAAGTACTTCCTCTAAAATTCCTTCGTTTAGAGTAAAGAAGACGGAGTTTGCGAAAGTCTATGAAACATGTAGCAAACTGCAGTTTGCTACATGTTTTATAGACTTTCAGCACCACATTGTTGATAATAGTCATCAATGGCTGGTGGTAATCTACCGTGAACCACAAACAAAAACCTTAATCCTTAAACCTTACGTTAGTTTTATCTATTCCCATTCCAAAAAATGAATTATCAATCATGCATTACATTCACTTTAATACCACTACTCCTCTACCAAAATTGTCTATGCTCTGAGAGCTGACCATGATACAATGATATTACATAGTGAAAATTTTACTCAAAAGGTCGAATTTCAAATTCCCCTAACATGTACTCAGTGACGTCACGCGCAAGTTTTTACTGTCACTTGAATTTTTACGCGAGCGAAAGAAGCAAAACAACACAAACATTTGATAAAATTTTGAAAGCTAATCACTGCTAATGTTACGGTGAAACTGTTGAAAATGCTGTGGAAAAAACACAGTGATATACAAACTAATTTGTTAATGCTTTTCAGCGTTTGGGTTGTTGGATTTGTCATGAAAGTCGTTAAATCGTTTCGCCTTTGGCCGAAAATATATCTGCAATCCGTGACAAAACACTTTGGACACAATAGCAAAAGAGCGTACATTTACAACACAATCGACCCCCCGCACCCCCCGTTCAATGCTGTGTGTGGAAATACCGGCGCAAAATATTCCTTGCCAGCCACCCAACATTGTTTAGGGGGGGGGGGAGGGAGGGATAGTGGTTTTATACTGAACAGTATTTGGAAAGGCGCAGATATGTCTATATTGTATCACTGTCCAAAAACATTTTGTCACTGATTGTAGGCAGCTGGCAGAATATTGTATCATAAATATAAAGTTTCTATTATATGTTCAGCCTTGATTGAAAAGTTTAAATTTACCAAGAAGCTGATCGACAAGTGTTTACCCATTACTTGGCTGGTCGGCCGATGATAAAGTAATTTCAGTTAAACGTGATATAGGTATAAATTCATACACGTATAAATGGGCTTAAAATGTAGGGTTGGGGAAACCATTCCTTATAGCGTGGAGCGAGTTTTTGCAGGTCTTAGAAGGTGACACGGTTCATTTTCCATCCCCGAAAAATAAGATGAGCAATGATGTTGTTCTCGAGGGAGACACGCCATTCCTTGCAACTTGTGACGCCCCACTTGATTAAAATAACAATCCATCTATTGATCACGTGAACACAGAAATGATGAATGTAAGTTGTCGAATGTTTCTGCTCCATAGACATATTCGGCGTGATGCACAAAGAAACATTGCGGCTTGCGCTCGGTGCCTTTCTGAGTTAATATTATACGTTGAACAGTGATCTGTAGTGATGTGTTTTAATTTAACGTACATTAAGGCGTTAACAAATAAGTATTCTGGTCGTCACTAACTATTTAGCTTATGACACGTCAACGAATCCCACACGAATCCCAGTCACATTTTATGTAGAAAAGGCAATTATGTCCAACAATTCTTCTGTTTTTCTCTCTTAGCTTATTGTGCTTATGTCAAAGGGAGTTGGTTATGTGGATAACTTCGAGCGAAATCAATTTGATTCAATGAAATTCCGACTTTCGTCGACGATTCCACCTATTTATAGTATATTGAAATATGACATCATAATTTGTAAATGGAAAAGTGGGAATCGTCTACTTTTAACCATTTTCTCTGTCTTTCATAACGAAACGCGTGCACAATTTAAAGCCAAAGTATTAATTTATTCCTTACTCACGCAACTGTGCATTTAAATTCCCAACAACGATCATATACATGTGAGAAAATATGGAAATTATTACGCGAACAAGTGTGGGATTCGTTGATACGGAAATACGATATACGATACGTTGTCGTAGTAACTTTCTCAGTATTTTCTTCTAAAGCCGCCAGCCTGCAATACAACGTACATTCGCGTAGGCATGCTTGTGATAATATTATTAAAATAATCTACATAAATATTATATAAAGTTTTTATAACTCTAGTCTTAAATTGTCTCCATACACTCCCTCTAGGGGCAAAAGCGTCACTAAGAGGATGTGTCTTATAAACAGAAGAAATCCCGTCTGAATAGAAACCAATATTTCGCCTGAAGATCTGGGCTTTGTGGAAAGAATCTTCTTGCATTGTTGCGTAAACGCCTTTCTTCCCCTGCGATCACGGCTAGTTGTGGATTGGAGTCACTGTCTATTCATCATGAAAATATTTGTACTAGTTTATTTCAAACAGTAGTTGCTGATGAAAATGATAAGTTACGAAGCTTACTGCCACCTACACATACTTCTTTTTATGATTTAAGAACCGATAGGAAATTTGAAATTCCTAGATGTAACACTAATCGTTTTCAAACTAGTTTTTTTGTGGCTTCGTGCCGCAAATCATTTATCTAATGCTATTGAAATGACCTAATATTTTTAATAATTTTAAATTTTTTAGTATATTAAAGTAATAAACATCTTGTATATATAATATTTATATGGAATATCATCATAATGGCTTGATAAACTCTTCTTTTATATTCTCGTAATTAGTTAAATTTACTTGTAAAAAAATACGCAATTCAGCCTATGGCTGCGAAGTATTTTATTAAATCTATCTATCTATCTATCTATCTATCTATCTATCTATCTATCTATCTATCTATCTAAAACCCCCTTTTTACGCGCAGGTAAATAATCAAATCCAGCTGCCTTCACCTCACGATAAGATGTCCTATAGGAAATATGACGCGACAGCAGCCTGCTGTGCGCAACCAAGCGCTTAACAGTAAAATATGGGTCTTTATCACGAAGAGTTTTTATTATTCTTAATAATTTCTCCGATCTCTACCTGACAGCGTCGTTGGTCTACCAATTTTCTTGCATGTCTTCAAATTTTGCTTGCGCTGAACTTTTCCTCTTAGATAAGAGAGACTGACGATTTAGATTTTTTGCTTTTTTAGCAATCGTTCAGCAGGAATATCGTTCCTATTTGCCTAGAAATAGCACATATGCTCGCGTTGTATCTGAAATATTTGTTTTATAAGCCATTATTACTTGCTTTCTATATAACTACCTCTTATTTGTAGCATGCATACTGTGCGCTTTATAATACTACAGCTTTGAGATTAATCCGGATGTTTACGATGACGTTATATTCTCCACAAAAGTTACGTAATAAGCACTTAAAGACAATTGCATTTGCTTCCGAACGTGTTTACTAGCCCTAAATTCCAGATTGCTGCACTAGTTTAGCTTGCAGTTCCAAACTACGAAGTTCCTAATGTTTGAGTAGTTCTGGAAACGCGCATAAACGCATTATGATTAAACTAGAATAATGACATACAATGTATGCGTAAATTATCCATGTATACTCTCACCAAAACACGGCATATATAATATTTGTAAACACCATTGGTTATACTATAAAATACAAATAATTCTAGCTTCAATAACTAAAATTTTCATTTGGCTTAGAATAACGTTTCTCACAGTAGCCGTTTTTATCGGAAGCATTGAAGGTACTTTCTAAATCAGTTATGTTCAGTTTTTTCCTTTTTTTAAGATTTTGGTATTTTTGTATCTTTTTCAAGGTTTTCTCGGCTATTTTGCACGCTTTTGCCCAAAACTTGTGGTGACAAAGTTCACATTCGAATGCCAAGCCGGCTAATTTTACTGTTTATCACGTAGAACTACAATCAGTGACAAAAGCTTTTTGGACAGTGATATAATATAGACATATCTGCGCATTTCCAAATACTGTTCAGCTTAATAACACTATCCCTCCCTCTCCCACCCTAAACAATGTTGGGTCGCTGGCAAGGAACATTTTGCGCAGGTATTTCCACACACAACATTGAACGGGGGGTGCGGGGGGTCGATTATGTTGTAAACGTACGCTGTTTAGCTATTTTGTCTAAAGTGTTTTGTCACTGATTGTCCGAAACGGTATTTTAAGCCAAATTAAAATTTCAGTTATTGAAGCTAGAATTACTTGTATTTTATAGTATTACCAATGGTGTTTACAAATATAATAACTACCGTGTTTTGGTGAGCGTAAACATGGTTAATTTGCGCATACATTGTATGTTATTATTCTAGTTTAATCATAATGCGTTCATGCACGTTTCCAGAACCAGTCCAACATTGGGAATTCCCAACCAAGCAAAATTTCCAGATGCGGGATTAACAAAACATTCGTATATTTTCTTTAGGGGTGAAACAAAAAATGTTTTTCCCCAATTTGCTGGACCGTAAGTATAAATATTTCGGTACTTCCCCCTTCCTCTAGATAGGGCGTCATACATGGCTGAAGAAAAGTCCGACTTTTGGATCCCATTCATATCTAAAATTTCAAGCGCAGCACGTTGCCAAGCACCATCACAACCGCCCTCGCAGGTTTTGCCCAGTTGATCTTTCAACAGCTCTATTCGCGATTTCTTTGACCTGAGAAGACGTTCTTGTGCGCAACTAAGTTCTTTGGCTGTCTCCAAAGCATCATTCACTACTTTGCTGCCTCTATTAGACACAAATTCAGCTAAGTCCGTCTTGCCTTCATCTTTCCATCTCGCTGCCAACGCCATAAGTTCTAAACGACACGTAATTTTGTGATGTTGTATAATTTGTACAACATCGAATGTTGACAAGCGCTTTCGTTTGTTTTTTGAGGCCTTTCGATTGCATTTCCGCTTTTTTGTTGCATTTGACGTTTTAGGGGGACCAGTCGTGTTGGATAGATCAGGGTGATCAGGGGAAACAATAAATTCGGCGTCTTCCTTCGTTACATATTTATATGCCCCATAATAATTGTCGTGGTGATCCGAAAAGTTTACTTTAATTCCGTGTTTCTCGTCAATATAATTTCTTGCACGCAGCCAGCGTGATTTTGTGTTCAGTTTTATGGCCATATGGAAATGACGACCGCTATTTTGATGTTGCTCTTCGCTCACTACCCATTGTAGAACTTTCGATCTGTAACATGATTTCCAGGCATTGACTATAACTTTGGCAAAGTCTGGCTTCGTTAAACCAGAAGCATCGCATTGACTAAAAGTAATTAGAAATACTGACCGTTGCAGTGGAGACGAATTAGGGATATCCTGTTGTATAGCAGACATAACTCTGCAGTTTAGTTTAATGTGAACATAAACTTATTGATTCTTTATATACTTTCTCTGATGAACACACCCTACAAAATTATGTTAGCACACCTACATAACAATAATTATATTTTTCCTGCTCATTTCCTTTACTACACACTTCAAATTTGAACACTTTATTGGATACAGTACAAACGTTTCCGTTCCAACCCTACATTTTAAGCCATTTATACGTGTCCGAATTTATACCTATATCACATTTATCTGAAATAACTTTATTATCAGCCGACCAGCCATATAATGGGTAAATACTTGTTCAGTTTCCTGGTCAATTTAAACTTTTCAATCAAGGCTGAACATGTACAAAAACTTGATATTTAATATGATACAATATCTTGCCAACTGCCTAGACAATCAGTGACAAAAGCTTTTTGGACAGTGATATAATATAGACATATCTGCGCATTTCCAAATACTGTTCAGCTTAATAACACTATCCCTCCCTCCCCCACCCTAAACAATGTTGGGTCGCTGGCAAGGAACATTTTGCGCAGGTATTTCCACACACAACATTGAAGGGGGGGTGCGGGGGGTCGATTATGTTGTAAACGTACGCTGTTTAGCTATTTTGTCTAAAGTGTTTTGTCACTGATTGTAACTATACAGTAGATAAAATTGTTTGTTCCTTTTGTCTATTTCTTCTTGCTTTCTGATAAATTTTGAATTTTAAAAGCTCTCTAGTTTTGTTTATATTTGAAGTGGGGAACAAAAGCAAGGCAGTGCCACGGACCACTGTTCATTACTGTCACAATGCAAACGCATTAGCCAATCAAATTGTCTGTTATATCCTATGCACTTATATTATAATATACAGGGTGTATAAAGAAAAACTGAACAGATTTGAAACTGCTCTCAATTTCGCAAAACAGTTAGCTATTATTATTATTAACCCTGTACAATCAATCACAGACTTGGTAGGTACAACAACCACAGCAGGAGGCTTGATAGTATACTGCAGGATTAAGCATGAATGTAAGAGATTTGCAATTGCCACTGCCCAATATTCCCAGGATATTTCTTCCAGTCATTGTTGCTTTTATATTATCCTTTTGAAAGGTTCTAAAACTTGGATAACCAAAGTAGTGAATGAGTGCATGAACAAAAACTTCATCCAAATTGTTACCAATATCACGATTATGCTCAAGTGAGTAAAGCCTGTTTTCCACAAGCGAAATTCTTCGCTTGAAGGGAATTTTTTAATTAATATTGTTATAAATTGAAAGGAATTTATTAAAAATCTAACTCCAGCCGAGAGCTAATAAGAAAAAAGATTCGCGCGATTCGCCACTATTGACGTTTTCGCATTGAAAAATATCAGGCTTTTCTTTAGTTTTAGAATACAGTTGGTCAAGTGAAACAAACCGTAACCGAATTTCAAGGCCTCTTCCTACATTGAACTTGCTTCAAACGAAGTTTCAAGATCAGAACTATTTAGTTCAAATACTGAACATAAATTATCTTGTTTCAGCCGTCGTACAGATGTCAGTGTTCCATAGAATTTTTCTTTTTCTTTTTCGGTCAACAGCGCCATATTTGTATTTGCAATGACAAACTACACAACATTTTGAACGTTTTCCTTATGCGCAAGCTATATGCGTAAGTTCGGAAAAGGTATGTTCGGCAACTCCTTCGTTTTTTTCTTTCTCTGCCCCCCCCCCCCATTTGATTTATTTACAATACAAAATACCATAGAGTTGCTTACGGAGGAGGCTAATAACAATCATACTTATCCGTTGTTACCCAGATTAGACTGGGAGTGCAGATGGACCAATCTGATAGATATATCAATTTTAGAGAAAAAAGAACCCTTGACATATTGCAGCAATCGCTCAGGTTGCACGGGGTACGTGTAGGGTAATTTTGATTTCAAGTTAACTGTGGAGTTCTGCTACCAAATGTTCTGGGTGTTTAATATCTATGACATCATAGGATCCCACAGACTTCACTAAATCTGTTGTCAGCCATGTCATCCACCTACATTTTGAGAAGGATTGTTGCTCTGGAAAACAAAACATTGTTATTAAACAATTTCTCATCTTATGAAACATTCTCAGAACACGTCTATGAAGAGATGATTGAAAAGTCACCTATATAGTCGAAACGTATTTGTCCAGCAAATTAATTTGGTGTTTGAGCATAACTTTTCAAAAATTATTTAGTAATGGCTAAATTACTTATACTAGCTGAATCTCTGGTATTAAATCAATGATTTGTGAACTTATTTTCTTGTTCACTGTATTTCAAAGTCAGAAGCACTGAGATTGAACACTCACCAACCTCAAATTGGGGTTAATTTGCAAATTAAATTTGTGTACTATATTCTAGGGTGAACACCAAACATGATTAGCTGATTTGTGGTCACGTGGTGTTAGATAAATGCAATGTAAATGTCCAGCCGGGCAACACCTGAAAAGTTGTTGCTCGACCGTACCGGCTAGGTAGACAAATAAACAAAATAGAGGCACAACTTGCAAGTTTATAACGACGATTTTCCTACTTTGTGTTAAAATGAAGAATGTAAAAGGGAAGAAAAACTAACAACAGGCAATAGGATATGCTACTGAAACCGTTAAGTAGGTTCTTTTAAATTTAAACTCGTTTATACTATAGAGTTTTTGAAATGAAATACAATTGTTGTACGAATGTTGTTGATTTTCCTTTCGTCGCTATATAAAGAAACACTTAATGTCTGGTCACTCGGAAAATAGTTAGTTTTGTTTCCCCTCGTCCCTCGAATCTCAATTTTTCCAACATTTAGAAACTAACTATTTCCCTCAAGAGCATACATTTAAAAGTGTAGGCCTATATATATATTCCAATACAAAATGCAATAATATAAAACAACGACTAATCGAATAAAGGCAATGAAAGTGTCAAAAACTTTATTATGTAATATTTACATTGAATTTCTTGGTTGTCAGCAATCTCGTTTCCCGAGCCTTCGTCCTGCGATCCTCGAGAAGGAACGTGAGGCTCTGGGATAAACCATTGCCGGAAGCCAAGAATCCTGGCTAAGATTGAACCGCGCATTCCTTTTCAATGGCCAATCAGATTCCGCCCTGAAACGGATTATGGCAGAGCCTCACGTTCCTTCCCGAGGATCGCAGGCCCGAGATTGGGTTGTCAGAAGTACGTTGTATATTTATGCTTGGAATTTTTGAACGCGAAATTTTTCGCTTTATTATATTAAATGAGGAAATCCTGTCGTGCTAAGTATTACTCCTCCAAAGTTGAACATCTGAAACAATTGAAACCAAAAGATTGGTGGCGAGAGGCGAAACGCCTCTGTGGCATGACTCCAGTTTCTAATTCCCCAGCATTCATTTCCCAGCTCCAATTAGAAAATACAGACCATCTAGATCTATCACTACTTGATCTAGCAAATTTAATCAATAACACCTTCCTCGAGCCTATGAAAAACTTCTCTGCCCTCAGCGATACGACCACGGAAACCCCTTCACAGTCTGATTACTTTCCAACCAACGCATTAACTACACCAGAGTTAATAAATCATAAACTTAATGGTCTTAATCGTTCCAAGGCACCTGGCCCAGATGGGATTCCAAATTGGATCCTGAAAGAATTTGCAGAAACTTTATCAAATCCTATCTCCATCATTGTCAACTCTTCCTACTTGGAACAAAAATTTCCAAACGCTTGGAAACAAGCTAACATTACACCCATCCCGAAAAATAAACCAATCCGTGATATAAACAAGAATCTTCGACCTATTTCATTAACTCCAGCCTTATCTAAGTTGGCCGAAGACATACTTATTGAAAAATACGTGGTGGAGGTGGTCAATCAGGATCAATTTGGGGGTATTCCAAAATCATCAGCAACTTTCGCCCTCATCAGTATTATTCATACATGTGCTCAAGCGACCGACGGAACTGGCGCTTCCGTTCGCCTCCTCTTGTTTGATTACCGCAAAGCCTTTGACTTGATTGATCACAACATCCTGGTTCACAAAATCCGGAAGCTCTCAATTCCTCTACCTATTATTAATTGGATTATCGACTTTCTTACATCTAGGGAACAACGAGTTAAACTCGCCAGGGATTGTTTCTCCGAATGGGGAAATGTTCCTTCCGGAGTTCCTCAAGGGACAAAACTAGGCCCATGGCTCTTTATACTCATGATAAACGATCTGAATTTAACTGATTTCCAAATGTGGAAATATATTGACGATACTACTGCTGCTGAAGTAATATCAAAAGACAGTCACAGTACTATTCAAACAGGAGTAAACCAGTTGGAAGATTGGACTGTGCAGAATAAACTCCAACTTCAAGTTCCAAAATGTCAAGAACTACTGTTTCAGTTTACGACAGTTAGAAGCCCTTTTCCCAATGTTGTCCTAAGTTCTGGAATTCTCGAACTAGTTGATCATGCTAAATTTTTGGGACTGACAATCAGTAACGACTTGAAATGGTCCAAACACGTCGCCGAAATGAGATCAAGAAGGTCAACAAACGAAAATACTTCATTATACAGCTTAAACAAAATGTTGATCAAGAAGGTCAACAAACGAAAATACTTCATTATACAGCTTAAACGCGCAAAAGTGCCCGCCAAAGATATAATTAACTTTTACTGCACATGTGTAAGGTCTGTACTCGAGTACAGCTGCGAAGTTTTCCATTTTGCCCTGCCTACCTATCTTAGTGACGCCATGGAGCAAGTCCAAAGAAGAGTCACCTCAATAATTTTCCCAGGCTTGCCGTATCCCGAGCGTTTGCAAAAATGCAACCTTATTACTCTCAGTGATCGGCGATACAAGGCCTGCTCAAAACTATCCAATCAACTCATCAACAAACCACATCATAAATTATCATCCCTTCTGCCTGAACGTTACTCTGCGAACTACGATTTCAGAAAAACTCAAGAGTTTCAACTTCCAAAGATAAAAGCAGATAGATTTTTAAAAACTTTTATACCGGCGTGCATCAAAGAATTTTCTTAGATACTCAATTTTATATAACCTTTCAACATAAATTTCTATAAATCTATTTATAAACACTTATAGTATATATTTTATTAACTTGATATGAATTAAAATGTTTCCTGTAAATTGTAGCTCTATTGAACTTAACCTTTGTTGTAAAATAACACGCAATTCAGTCATTGTAGACTGCAATGTGTTTCTTTTTAATAAACCTATCTATCATCTATCTATATCTAAATTTCTGCTTTGTTCGCCATTATTGCTTATCTCTTAGGCAGCGTTTACACTGTACCGTTTTCGTAGCGTTCTCGTATTGTTCGAGAGAACTAGACTATTGTCTTGCGTTCCCTTGAGGATTAAGAACAATACGAGAACGCTACGAAAACGGTACAGTGTAAACGCTGCCTAAATCACATAGTCCACAGTCCTCTTTTGTTTTCATTTCAAGTCTTCACAGAATTTTGTTTAAAAACCAGCATTTCCATACAAAAAGTAAACTCACATCCGGACCTTTCTTATATATACTGTCGCACTCCTTGATAAATATTGTCAGAATAGGCGAAGGCTTTGTGGAGTTGGAGCCATTAATTCGGACACAAACTCCATCCTTCTGGCTCTAGATTGAATCTGTAACTGGAGTTGTAAATTTGAACTGGATGATCAAACCCACGCAGTGACGTAGCCAGAGGCTGGGGCCCGGGGTCAACATCCCCCCTGGTAAAATATTGAGCCCACTTAAAAAAATTCTGGCGAGTACAAGCATGTGGATAATATTTTAATTTCTTGTAATGGAAATTTGATATCTTCCTATGCACGTTTTAAATGTTCTGGATTTGTAGAAATGTGTTATGTGTTTAATTTAAATGGTATTTAAAACCAAAACACATTATAAAGTAACCACCAAAATGCTGAAAATGGCACTTTTCCGACTCTTGAATTTAAAAAATTTCGCAGGGGAGCGTACCCATATATGGACCCCCTAAAAGTTCATTGTACTATATAATTATGCAGAGGAGGGTGGAAGCTCTTCCCAGCATGCATTGCAACTCATTAATATTCACAATCATGATTTTTCACAATGTTAGTTGGAAAAGTTGTGGATATTTATTTCGATATTTCGCCACAAAAAGTTCGTATTTTTGAAGTTAAGTTTTCATAATTGTTTTAAATATGAGTCAAATTGACGATTCTTGCTTCATTTGGTGTTTTAACAACGTTTAGTTAAATGTTAATCGCAATTTGTATTGACCTGTTTTCCGGGTCAATGCACAAGTGTCAAAAGTGGCTTTCAAAACCACTGGGGACAATTGGGTTTATAAATGAGTAAATTAAATAAAAGACACGCCATCGTATTCAGGAAGAGTTGTTCTTTCTATGAGAAGTTTAAAAAATGAATTGTCCCCATCAAACTGACGAGTAATCGCGGTTTGAAAATGGGGCATTTTCAGTATACTATGTCGCCCATCGCGGGAATAGTCGAATTATGGCGCGAGGAAAATTACTGTACGAGTCGTTATTATTTTTGTTTTATTTCGAAGCATGGGCATATATGTCGATCGTTCTTGAGTTTAATTGCTGCATTTAAGTTAAATACACTGTATTTTACCATTAATTTTATAGAATTCGAATATATTTTCTGAAAATGGAATCTGACAATGATGGCATTGTTGTTTATATTGTTGATCCTAAGTAAGGGAGAAGTTCAACTTATTAATTTAATGCTGATTTAGAACTGTTACTGAACAAACTGTTCCTACATCTTGCTTTGGCAAATGGTATAACATCTAATCCAGCCAAGTTGTGCTCATGATCCATTCAAGCAATGAAACTATTGAACCAGACAGTCCAGAATAATAAGAGCAAACCTGTTATATAAATTTGCCCATACCAGCCTTAGATACATATTTTGGTATGCACACATGTAAATATTGGTGTATTGGTGACATGAAAATGTTGCAACGAATCTTAAGTATTTACTTTATATATTGTAACTTTGAATAAAGCATTTTATTAACATCAATTGTGTATGACCACTGCATTATGACCACCAAATATCAGGGATGGATTTACTGGGGTGTGTGCACCCCCCACCTAGCCCTGGCCAGAGGGTATGCGGGGGGGGGGGCTATTTTCGTGATAAAGCAAAAAATATTAGAGACAAAATGAGTAATTTGAGCAATAACATGATGATAAGTAAAGTGTTCGTTAACAACAATTACAATACAGTAGTCAAGCAAGACTTTGCTATAGTCAAGTAAGTTGATGGGTGGGTGGCGCATGTGACTGACAACAACTCGGCACAAGAGCTGGCAGAGCACCCGCCCTACCACATCATACTGGGTCCATCTTTAGATCAGTGATCCATCTGTGCTAAATATACAACAGTTAAAGAACACATGCACAAGGTGGACTATAAGATAAAGTAGGGATTTGATAACTGCAGTAAACAAACACAGCAAATTGAGTTTGAAAACATTTACTTATTTGAAAAAGGAATGGTAAATTATATTTAACTATTATTCGCTGAAGTGATTATCGGGGAATATTCGCCAAGACGAAGTCGAGGTTTAGTATTTTTGCACAAGTTTTTTTGTGTTTTTCTGGTCTGAATTCATTTTAATTTCACTTATTTCTTTATTACTACTAGTTAACTTCAACAAAACGGCTAGGCGCCATTTTGAAAATTTAGATGGTGAAAATAACAGATTAATATGTCAAATTTGACCAATCACCTTGTAGGATTTGTGATGTTCACTTGTGCAAAAATACTAATATCAAATATTTACCTGAAATAATAACAGTGTTTTAATAGGAATAAATTTATATGAAAATCTCAACTAAAAATGTCTTGCTCATGTTCATGTACATAAATTTCAACTTGAGATTTTTTGATCATCTATACATGATTATCACAAGTTGGTATCTTTGTTCTCGCTAGAAACCAGCTACAACAAACTTCTCAGGATACAAAGTGTCCTCCACAATCCTTGTCTTAATTCTCAGGATACAATTTGTCTCCTCCACAATCCTTGTCCTTCAGAATCCTTGTCTCCATCATTTTCCTAATCACAGCTTGAATCATTCATGTATTTAGCATCACCAGTAGCCTGTTCCACACCCAACAATTGGGTCAACTGCTGAATTTCATCAATCTTGTCCATGTCTGCAACTCCACCTTCTGCACCAATGCTTTCAACATCACCAGGCATCTCTTCACCATGAATTTTACCCAAACACATAGGATTTAATGGCTGCTTAATGCAATTGCATAACAATGGCTCATCTAAATTCACCAGTGGTAGGTCATTCAGTATATCCTCTAAAATATCCAGCTTGGGTGGTCGGATTGTTACAGAAGTTGGTGATGGAATAATGTTAAACTCCTACAAGTCTACAACAGAACACAACATAAGTACTACCGGTAAAAAGTATTTGATGTGTTTATACAGGGACGTTGGAACAATAAAAAGGCAGGGCACATTTATAGACCTACAATTATGTGTTGACTTGCCAATGAAAGCCTGATTGTGCATGTTCCATTGACAATAGCTGTTCTGTGTTCTGGTAATAAAGTCTACTCAAGGAACTGTAGCTGCACAAACACACTTGATTAATCAGGTCACATTCAAGTTCACAACTCATGACTTTGCCCAAAACTGGAGATACGATTTAGCAGGCAGAATTTCATCAATTTCTATAACTCAAAGTGCACTTCTGCCCCCTTTGCCCCTCCTCCCTGCTTTTATATTAAAATAGATTTAACTCATTTGATATAAAGTCAAATACTTGTGTGATTTCCGAGTATAAATGGCCCATTTTCCCACCAATTAAATCATAAAATAATCGCACCTTAAGGTCACAACTAGAATAGATTTCTATCAATGAAGGACTATCGCATTCGGCGAACATATAATATCTTCAACTTTTACGCCAATGTCGTTATCCATAAAACTAGAAGTTCGACATCCCTTCAGCAGCTCCAGTCGCTCTTTCGACACACAATATACATAAAGTATTAAAGATTGTCACGTCCATCCAAATCAATAGCTTTGTTGCCACGAACAGTACGAAAATTCGCCATAATTTACAATTTTCAATTTGTACTTTTGAATACCGCTCCTTGTAAATGAGTAGCGAACACAACGAGAGCTAGTCGAACAATGACGGCGCGTCCCGGGAAATCGATAATATTAATGACTTACAATGCATGCCGGGAAGGGCTTCCAACCTCCTCTGATAATTATGCATGAATAGCATGGGCGTCCATGCAAGGATACGTTTTCACACTATTCGAAGTAGCGCACTGAGGTTAAAATTGCTTGTGCCACTTCTAGGATTTTCTTGGCCCCCCTTGGCTAGAAATTCTGGCTACGTCACTGAATCCCACGCAATTCTTCGCAATTTTCGGGACCTAAGCATGCGTGCAGTGTTTGTAAATAATGTAAAGGCAGGAACTTGTTCTTTGAAATATTCAACAGTCGTAATCATAATACCTTAATAAATTAGTGTTTGTGTTATGTTTCCGATGACATAAACTGGTATATAAGGAGGATCTTCTAAATCTTTGAAATATATATTCACTGGTGGGTGCACTTACTGTAGTTAAGTCGTCATTAAAACTGTTAAATATCATTCTTTTTGCGATTATATGCTCGTCGATTGAGCTTCGTGGTGAGTTATCAACTGTCACAAGTGTGTAGAAGATTACACACTTATCTAAGACAACTGATATAGACTATAGTACGCAACGAAATGATCGTAGTTTACAAATTTACCAACGAAAGCGTGCATGAGAGTATCTCGATGATGTTTCAAGTATTTCCTATATTATTGGATCTTCAAGTCGAAACGTTTAATAATCGCAATTTGCATGGCTTTTCATGGTTGACAGGCGGGGACCTCTGAGATTGCAACTGCGACATAATCTTGCATGGTTAGTCAGAACGATAATATAATTATATGGGTGTTTTTCTATACTGACTTGAATACATTTTAATTTCACATTTCCGGCTACTCCACTGCGATTCAAATGTTGTTTTTTTTACACTTGCATCGATTTGCCAACTTATTGGTAAATGCAAAATTTGGTCTCTTGTTTTTATCACTGACAATTTACACTGATTCAAAAATTAGCTGCACATTAAACGCCGTGGTCTTGAGTTTTATGCATAGGCTCAGCAGTCAGCATACAGAAGAATTTAATGAATTTCATGTGACGGACTGTCTATGAAATAACAGACGGCATTTAAAAATTATGGGTTCTACTATTTACATTTTATGCTTTGCAGTTGTTACAGAAACACACAAACACACAAACAAGCCATTCTTTGAAAGAGAAATGAACGCGCTTTAAAATAGAAGTTAGTGTAAATTATGCATGTGTTGTGTATGGAGAATAACACACATAATTATGTATAGGTTATTTTGAGGCAACGAGGGGATATGTGATTTATTCACCGAGGCGCGCAGCGCCGAGGTGAATAAACACATATCCCCGAGGTGGACGTACTTATTTTCACACTGCGAGGTCGCGTTAATGAGTCAGAATAGAAATAATTCTCAATGCCATATTGCCTTCGCGATGTTGTTTTTCCTCATTTTTTGTGCTGCAAAGACATTGCAGGTGAATATTAGAGGGGATTATTAATTGCAGGTGAATATTAGAGGGGATTATTAAACGGAAATTGATTAGAGTGGAATATTGAATATATTCCCCGACAAGAACAAAGGAAACCGAGCAGGGTGAAAAATAAGAGAAATTAGATACAGGTATATATATAGGTATTACCAGTCAAAGGCAAATCTGCAACACTGCCGACGTATTCATTTAGTTTCCTGCATTCATTTCGGCTTTATTGACTGATCAAGTAAAGAAACTTGAAAACATGAAAGATAAACTTTTTTTTAACTCTTTAACAAGAGTTTGATCGGATTGACTGATCAAGTAAGTGATTATAGGTTATATGGCATCACATCTCTTGCATGTCTTGTCTTGTCTTGTCTTGTCTTGTCACGTCTTTAGTCGCTCCTTTGCTCTGTAGTTGACGTGAAGTACAGCTTTTAATATTCACAATTCTATTACTTGATTGTTCTATTCTTCGCTTTAAATTTCATTGAAAATATCTGTGTCCAATCTATATATATAATTGCTGCCGCAGCGAGCGAGCCTGAAGCGAGCGAGCAAGGCGGCAGATCCTAATTTTGTTTTGTGGGTCAAAATCAAAATTTTCCATTTGGCGCATTGCATGACGGTACCAGTGAATTTTAACCGTGGTGCAGCGCGGTCAGGCATAAGGCAAACAGACAATGTGATCATCTTTCATCTTTGATCTTTTATGGAAAGCCATAGCTGGCTTAAAGTGATCAAACGGCATTTTTTGGGTGCTTTTAGCATTATACGGTGCATGGTGCTTTCGGCATTATACGCGGTGGTTCCCGCATTATACGCGGTGGTTCCAGCATTATACGCGGTGCTTTCACCATTTATATACGCGTTGCTTTTGCAATTAATATACGCAGTGGTTCGAGCACTATATGCGGTGCTTTTAACATTATACGCGATGCTAGCTTTCATTCAACATTATTTCCATATTCTTTCCATGACATGTCTATGATTTAACGATTGTTTAAATTTGGTATGTGGTTGACAAATGCTTTTTGCCTATGGTCTGCAAGGACAATGACATGCTTGATGCTTTTCTGTGTATATAAATGAATATATAAACGCAGCGAATGCGCCAAGCGGTATAAACGCGGCTGAAATACGATATTTAATAAAATCTTGAATGTGCCGTATGATTTAATTATGTTTTAGGATTTACAAATGTTTTGTCTTTTGTATTTATACTTGTACTGCATCACAAGGCAGTACCGGTAAGTGAACAAATTCCACATGTGAGATTGTCTTGTATATATTTTTGTTTCTTTGATAAACATTAAACACGCAAACTTTAATTAGTGAGACGCAATGTTAAATGTCACTTGCCATCCTCGTACCCAGGGTCTTTTTGGGAAAGACCCTGGTATCGGCTGGTCACGTGACTCTACAAAAATTGATTGCCCAAAGGGGAGTGGCAAAGTATCAAATTACATGCTTCCACAGAAAACGTTAAATTTCAAATAATAGGAGTGGGATATATGTTCGAAGCGCCCGCTAACTTCTATTTTATACCTCCGTTTGCATGCTTTTAAATTACAAAAACACTGTAGCAATTTATCAACAGTCAAGTCTAGAAACAAATAAAATGTATACTTTACTTTGAAGTTGGGTATTCCCTTGAAACATATTTTCATGTCAAACTGGTCAGTCCTCAACGTTTGTACATTTTCACTTTTATTTTGTTCCGAAAATATGACATTAGATTTGTTGTTTGAAAACTCGTTGATAAACTTTGTGCAGATTTACTAATAGTACGCGTCTCATTTTATAGTGAAGGTTGATAAAATTTTGAAATGTAATTAACTTTTTGTCACAAATCACAATGTAAACATGTGTGGACACTGCCGAACAGAGACTTTAAAACTGTCGATGGTTTATCTTTGAAAATACTTTTAATTAAATAGTTCGTCATATTTATTAAAAAACCCTGTAGATCGGTTGGGTAGGAGGTTGGCAGGTAGTATAAAGTACAACAATTTTCAGCCTCAGGGGCGTATCATCAGGTAGTATATACAATCACGGCTTTAGACTGATTATTTTTTGGCCTCCATGCACTAAGTAATGGAGGGTACAGCAATATTTATAACAGTATTTTTCTGATATACAGTACACACTTTATAATATGAACATAGTCATAGATAATTCCATAAACCACAGCATAAACCAAGGCATAAACACTGATATCACACCTAGTCTGAATGTCTGATATGCATATATGCAGTCATATGTACCCACCACAGATATATTAACACTTACATAGTCTTAGAGTTTGATTCAGTATTATACTTCACAAAGTACTTCATTACAATAAAGTAATTTCATTACAGTAAAGCTAATGTCACAATTAAAGCTATTTATCAAATTTATAATGCGGACTGCATTCTCTAAATGTCCTAAATGTCACACATATACAGTATTCGTATTTGTAACATACACGCACAGACGAGTCTTTCACTTATCTTTGAGTAGGCTATTGTCGGATTATTTTACCGTAGGTTTGATAACAGGGAGGTATACTTCGACATATTTCTTGAGCATCAAGTTTCAACAGATTCTGGTTTTTCGTATCTCTGAGGATGGTTCTGAAGTTTCAGCAGTCCGAGTAGCATTGTTTACAAAGCAACATAGTTTGCGATATTTCAGAAATCAAAAGATCTCTATATTTCGTTACACATCTTAATATTAAATAAATCCTTTAGGATAGACATCAATAGCTAAATAACAGCCACATCGGTCGGTAGTGTACTGCCTACTGGTGTGGAAATATATTTTCTTGTAACGTTTGCGACGTGTTGATTTCTTCGACGAGCTGTATCGGCATAATTTGTCTATTGAAATCTGATCTATCTTTGCTCACCAACATTCTGCACACAATGAAATTTGATATTTACTGTTGTGTAACATTGATCATAGTATTCATGACAAGTAAAATATACAATTTTGTAAATATTTCCTGCATGATTTCTGGGTTATTTCTTCGCTCACTCCTTGCTCAATGACAAAACGTACTTAGGTACCCACCCTAACTAAAATGGTTTGCTATCTCCCAGATTCTGGGAGACACGTGACGAGCCGATAGCAGGGTCTTTCCCAGCCGGTGGAAAGTCCCTGCGACGGAGGTTGGTCACTTGCATGTCATTGTCATTGACCTTTAACCCCTGGTCTAATTGGCCGCTTTTGAAAATGCTGATCATGACAAACCGCACTGCTTAATTATGCAAACTTTGTGTTTTAAAAACGGGTAGGATAAAACGCGGATACGGATGGACGGATGAATGACGGACGGACCGGACGGATGATATATATATGTCATTATATAGTCTGCGCGCAGCCGCGCAGGGTAGTTAGTGGCTTACTTCTTCGCTGGTTGTTATACTTTAAAATAATTTTGAAAAAAAACGAGAAATCAATATTCCGAGTATATAAATATATAAACTGGGATGTTACACTGATAGCTTGTTTACATTTCCTGGAGCATCAAATCTTATGTTTAACCACGGTGGTTTAACCCATTAGCTGGCAATGCGCCCTTCCCTTATCCAGCGCCAGAAGATTTTACTCGTCAGTGGTATAGGGTACTGCCAGTAAATGGGTTAACAAACCTATCTGCCAATGTCTCTTGTTAATCCATCAGCACAGTAATGACCCCTACTTTAGTATTTACCCTGTCCAACGCCAGACGATTTTTAATACTCAGTCAGTGGTATGGTACTATCAATAAATGGGTTAACCTGCAAGGATAACAATAATAGGATGTTTCTGAAGGACTCGTTCAACACCCTGTAGTTTGTCTTTTGCTGTCGAAGGCAGCATTACTGCCCTGTGGGTAACCTAGTTATAAGCGCATGTTTGGCGAAATAGGCCTACAAACATACATAACCAGGATATAAGTATTTATTTAGTACCAAGGGCAAATCTGTAACACTGCTCACATATTGATTTTGACGTGTTCTTCCATTAACGTAATAGTTGCAACTGATTCATTTTCCATAGATAGGTTAAAATATGTAAGGGAAGTTATTCGAACTTCTCCCTGTAGGCGTAGCAACTTAAAGTGCCCCTGACACAAAAAAATTTTTTCAGTCTATCGAAAGTACTCATTTAGTATAGTGTTCTGGCGAAAGAATTTTTCGATTTCATCAAATCGAAAAGTTTTTAGAGCCGTTTGAACACGCAAAATTTGGGCTTTTGGTTGGCAGGCGTCCGTGTTCGAAGGAAACTGGAACGAGCGATTTTTGTTACGTCACGCAAGTGAGTCGGCGTATATTCTATTATTCGACTATACTTAGCCTGCGGGCAGCCCCATACCACGTAAAGGAGGGAAGGGACTGCGAAACAATGCCGAATAGCTTGCTACGCGCTTTTCCAGCTTTTGGGGAAAATAATTTAAGCAAGAAAATTAATACGCTAAATATGCAGGGGCGTGAATATGTAAATTCAATATGGCGTATTGCAAGGAACGCATCATATTTGACGAAGACAAGTTTTCAGAAGCAGTGAATATCGCTTGCTGTCTTCTAAAAGTAAATTCTTTTTATCATGACCAAATAGAAGCTCTTCGAAATTTTTTCAAAGGCAATGATTTATTCTTCAGCGCTCATACTGGATACGGGAAATCGTTAATTTTTCAAACAATACCGATTATTACGGATGTATTGCAAGACCAAGTGATTAGCACAAGTACAGTGCTTGTTGTTTCGCCTTTGTTGTCCCTCATACAAGACCAAATTAAGCGTGTCAACGAAACCTTCGGTATCTCTGCTGCTGGGATATTTGATGGACAAGAGGAGGAGATTATACGAGATATTGAGGACGGAGTATATTCATTGCTCTACACGACACCCGAAAGTTTGTTGGGAAATAAACGATGGAGAACGTTAGCAAGTTCACAAACCTTTCGCGAACAGTGCGTAGCAATCGTTGTTGACGAGGCACACTGTTTGGTGCAGTGGTAAGTGTATAAAAGAGATTATTATATTAACACATTAAAGTGAACAGAAAATGGACTGAAATGTTAGCCACATAGCCTGATGTGTCTCCTTTACTGTACATATACTGAAATAATCTTTGTCTGTCACAAATTCCCAATAATCTTTGTCTGTCACAATATTAATTTTCTACTGACAAAATTTTTATGTTCAAATTTTAGGGGACAGTCCACATCTCATCGGGCAGCACCATTTAGTCAATGGTATACCAATCTTGGTGAACTCAAGTCCTTGCTGTTGTCATCAACAAGATTTGCCATATTTACAGCAACAGCCACCAAAGCAACTAAGAATACAATATTCAAAATGCTAAACTTGAGTACTCTCACAACATACTCAATTGAAAAACCACCACTACGTAGTAACATTAGTTTTAGGTTTGTGTATGTGCACAAAGAACAGCCTTTAGAAACCGTTTTTGCATTTTTGGTGCATGAGTTGAAAGCCAAAGGAATTGATGCAGATAAGTGTATAATTTTTTGCCAAACAAGAAAGCAATGCTCACTAATTTATCGTATGTTCCAAGTGGCTTTAGGAAGCATCAACTTTTTGAAAGATTCCTCTGATTATGAGAATTGCCTTCAGGCTGGAAGTCCAGATTCTGTGAAAACCCATGTTGTCAAGGAAATGACAAAATTTAATAGTCACTTGCGCCTTCGCATATGCACTATAGCATTTGGAATGGGCATTAACTGCAAGGGAGTTTATCGCAGCATTCACTTTGGCCCTTCAACCACAGTAGATAATCTTGTCCAAGAAACTGGAAGGTTGGGAAGAGATGGTAAACAGTGTTTCTGTTATGTCCTATTCAACGGTCTTCTTATGGCTCATTGTGATATCAAAATTAAAGAGCTTGTTGAAACAGAATGTTGTAGAACAAAGTTCATTCGTCAGCTTTTTCCTGGAGATGCACATGATTCAAACCAGTCAGGCTGTCTTTGCTGTGACTGGTGTAGCAAAAAGTGCACCTGCTTAGACCATGGAACCATACCTGGTGTCTCATTCGATAGTGAGGCTACTGCTGAAAAATCTAAATCTCGAAAACGTTTTATGAGAAAAGATCAGAAAGAGGAACTTGAGAAAAAACGTTTACAATATAGGAAATGTTTATTGCCATCAAGTACAGATAAATTTATTCCTGTAGGTTCAACTGGAATCTTATTTGAGTTTGACAACTATCAAATTACTCAGGTGCTACAGAATTGTGATAGCATTTTTAACATAAATGACATTGCTGACTGTGTGGAAGTATGGAGACATGTACATGCAAATAACATTTTCAAATGCATGAGCGAAGTATATATTGTATATCCTTCAAGATCAAGCGGCGATACAAGTTCCTGGCAGCAAGGTTTAGATACTACCCTAACACTGACGCCTCATTCAACGTAGAAAGGAACCCTGGACCAACTACTTCTGATGAAAATAACTGGAAGAAGCCACCAACGGTGCGCAATAATTCTGCGAAAGTTATATCCAACACATCGAATTCTTGCAAGACCAAAGATAACCATGCAACGTTTTCTTTCCGTTGTTTGAGTTGGAACTGCCGCAGTCTATTCAGTTGGCACAAATTACCCGACGGAGAAACATGGTCAAACCATACAAACTTTCTGGATTTAGCATACTCTGAACCACTTGACATGATCTTTCTCACCGAAACCTGGTTGTCTGACAAACATCTCGACAAAGAAATTCTTCCTCATAACTACGACGTATTTCGTGTCGATCGAAAACATAAAACTGGAGGTGGTGTTCTTATCGCTATTAAGGAATTCTCTTTTACTGAAGTTAAACAAGTGGCCATTGATCAATACCCTGATCTTGAAATCGTTTGCGTTGAGTGTAGTACGGGCAAAGACAAGCAGACTCTTGTAGCTTGCTGCTACAGACCTCCAAATTCTACCCAGAATTGGTTTCTCTCTTTTAAAGAGTTCTTGAAGTGGGCTGGCCGTGCGTACGAGAAAATAATCATCACCGGTGATTTTAACTTTCCTAAAATCTCGTGGTCTGAAAGTGCTGTAATACCTGGTGGAGAACCTGAATATCTCTTTTACAATACATTGTCCGATCATTATCTTAGTCAACTGGTTTACATTCCAACAAGAGAACAGAACACTCTTGATCTTCTCCTCACAAATATGCCTGACAACATTGCTAATGTCGATATCATTGACTCCTCTACATATAATTTATTCTCGGATCACAAATGCATTCTCTTTGAATTCACGCAAAAATTACCAGCTTCTCGCAAGATCAGAAGAACAACTTACGATTACAAACGTGCGGACTTTGAAGGAATGAACAGGGCTCTGGAGACGTTCGAGTTTGATTGGATGACAAATGATTCCACCTCTGACATTAACGACGATTGGACTTGCTGGAGAGATAGTTTTCTCACAATCGCTGACAACTACATTCCTCAGAAGACCATCAAAGGAAAGTTTAATCCACCATGGATTACTGGTGAAATATTGAATGTGCTCAAAAAGAAAGAAACGGTTCGCCGAAAACTGCGACGCACCATCAAGACTTGTGCAGACTCGATCACGGAAAAGTATAAATCACTTCGAAATACAGCCAAGAAGTTAATTAAGGACAGTCGAGAAAATTTTTTTGCTTCAATGAGCAAGTCTCTGTATTCCAACCCAAAACGCTTCTGGTCCTTCTTCAAAACAACCACTAAGTCTTGCAGAATACCACAACAAGTGTCTTCTGCAAATGGTACAAATTCATTGCGTACCAGTTCAAGCAACGCACAAGAAACAGCTAACCTTTTCAATTATTATTTCAATTCGGTGTTTTTAAAAGAGTCTGATGAGAACTACCATCCAGTTCCACCTGTTTCCAATGAATCCATCACAGAGATCATCCTTGAACAGTGCGAAGTTCGCAATGCACTCAACAGTCTGAATCCCAATAAAGCCTTTGGTCCTGACAACATACCCACACGTTTATTGAAGGAATGTGCTTCTAGTATCGCTCCATCACTAACATATTTGTTCAATAAATCGCTAAACTCTGGCAATCTACCGACGGAATGGAAGCTCTCTAATATCGTTCCACTACACAAAAAGGGTAACAAAAGCTACGTTGAGAATTACAGACCCATCTCACTGATGTGTGTGGTTGCGAAGGTTCTCGAGCGCTGCATTTATAATCGATTGGTAGATCACATTCAGAAAATGTTATCGGATGAACAGCATGGCTTTCTAAGAGGAAAATCATGTGTTGGCCAACTGCTTTCCGTTCTTGATCGCATCGGCAAAAACCTTGACATGGGATTGCAAACCGATATCTTGTATCTGGATATTGCCAAAGCGTTTGACACCGTCGACCACAAACTACTTCTTCAGAAACTCTTTCATTTCGGTGTCGCGGACAAAGTTTTAAACTGGTTTTCTAACTACCTTTCAGAGCGACAACAGCGTGTGTTAGTTCACGGTGCAACATCAGATTCCCTCCCAGTTACGTCTGGCGTCCCTCAAGGGTCGATCCTTGGTCCATTGTTATTCTTAATTTACGTCAATGATCTTCCTTCGTCAGTGTCTTCACCATCTGTAAACGTTTCTCTATTTGCTGACGACACAAAATGCTTTTCAACCATTGAGTCCCTAAGCGATGCAAGAAACCTAAACACGGAATTTAAAAATGTGCAGAACTGGGCGCATAGTTGGCGACTGAATTTCAATGCAGAGAAATGCAAAGTCCTTAGTATCACCAGAAAACGCTACCCAATCGTTGCTGAATACGTCATCGATGCCCGAGCTTTGCAACACGTTCCCAGTCAGAAAGACCTTGGAGTGACAGTTTCTTCTGACCTTACATGGACTATCCACATACACGAGAAGATTACCAAAGCGAACCGTATGCTTGGCATGCTGAAACGTTCGACAGTTCATGTTAGAGATGCAAGCACTAGACGTAGTTTATATCTGGCATTAGTCCGATCTCATCTGGCCTATGCGTCACAGGTATGGAGCCCACAAACCGTAAGCATGTGTGGTGAATTGGAAAATGTTCAAAGGAGGGCAACTAAATTCATCTTGGCTTTACCTTTTGAAACTGACACTTGCTATAAATCAAGATTGCTGGCCTTAAACTTGTTACCACTGAGCTACTGGCACGAATATATGGACGTTCTCCTTTTATTCAAACTTACACGTGGATTTATTTCATCTGACCTCAATATCCTCCCAGAACAAAACAACAAATTAAGGATGAACCTACGGTCACAAAATACCACCCTCGTGACATATCATATACCAAAAACTAAGACACTCTGCTATCAGAACAGTTATGCTGTTAGAGCTTCACGGATATGGAACACTCTTCCCGATGAATTACGTCTACCAGAGATTTCATACCATCGATTTAAATCCCTCCTTTCCCAATATTACCTTACTGCCACCAAGACCACCTTCGACAAAGATCACCCCAAGTCATGGAAAACGATATGTCCCAAGTGCCATCTAGCAAGATCATTAAAAACGTTCAAGAACTGTTGTTTCTAGGACTAGCCTTGGTGGCTAATGTGGACTTTGAACTGTAATTATATGTAAATAGATAGATGTGTTGTGTACGTTTCGAGTTCGAGTGGATGTATTGTTAGTACTGTCTGTAGAACCAGGGCATCAACGTAATTGGTTGACGCTGTGTTGATGTACCTGCGCCGTTGTCGTTGTATAAATTTTTGGCGGCAAAGTTTATAAATAAATAAATAAATAAATAAATAAATATTTGATGATATGGATAGTTCAGACTTTCCCTTATCTTTGTCTGAAGAAGATTTTGAAGACATGGAAGTAATTGATGATGATTGGGAATTGATTAGAGATTAATAAGGAATATTTACGACTAATTTAATATTGTCCAGAAAGATCGAAATCACAACGTATTAAAGCAAATGCCACGGGGGCCAGTGGCGTGGAGAGGGGCGCTAAAATGCCAGTGGGGCGCTTTCAAGAGGGGCGCCGAAATGCCAGTGGGGCGCTAAAGTTGCCAAGTTGACAAATCTCAATTGTTGGAGTGTACAAAACAACATCCGTTTCAATGCTTCGAAATGTAAAGTACTCGCCATTACACGCAAGAGAACTCCTGTCACTCATGATTACAAACTGGGAACAGAAAGTCTGACTCGAGTTGACAGTGAAAAGGATCTTGGCGTCATCACTTCCTCCGGACTTTCATGGGAACTTAAAATCAATTGTGCCATCTCCAAGGCTAACAAAATTGTAGGTGTACTGAAACGAACATGTACTCAACTGACAGACATGTACGCCAGGCGAACTCGTTATTTGACTCATGTGAAATGACAATAATGCTACGCAACGGAATTAGTCTCGTCGCTCGTAAATAACATCCTACTCTCAAAGCGGATTGAAAGTGTGCAACATCGGGCGACGCGATGGATCATAATGAGCAGAAGAGGAGAGCTGAGTTACAAAGAACGTCTGTTGGCCTTGGACCTTCTGCCGTTAACCTTCGACAGGGAGGTGAAGGACTTGGTGTATCTGTACAAGGCTTTGTTTGGTTATGTTAATGTTGATGTCAGTAACTGTGTCTCGTTTGTCAGTCACGGTCCAACTCGGCTGAGTAACACCTCAAAG